GAGAGAGAGAGAGAGAGAGAGAGAGAGAGAGAGAGAATTTTGTATCCCACTTACTTATGTATTCATTGATTGATTCTTGTATGTATCCTGACTGGGATCAAGTCCACAACCTTGGCATATCAGGACAAAGCTCTAACCAATTGAGCTATCTGGCCAGGGCCATATTTTGTCTCATTTTAACATCTCAAGATTTGAGGTGTAAGACTGCAGGGCAGTTCCTCTGGCGTGGCAGCTCCAGCACCATTTTAAAGTGGCTCCATTTATTTTGTTGTTGACGATTGGTTCTGCAGATGGATGGAACTAGATATATAAATTAGCTAAGCCATTTAGTGGCTGTAACTTTAGGTACAATCTATGAAATGGGGCCATAACACTGACCTGGCAAGAGACACTGGGCTGATTAAATGAAATACGTGATGTTCTCACCTAACGTCGTTCATAGGTTCTGCACCTTGAAGTGGAATGACAAATAAGGAAACCAGTTTTACCGTAGGCTAGTTGATATAAACAAGAGTTAAGTTCCATGGGCATCTCATCAATATTACAGCTTAACAGTGTTTTTGAAGACCTGCTATACATGCATGTTGTTTCTGACACATAGCAGACATCCTATAAATGCATTTTCCTGTCCTCGTTCCTTCAGAAAGAAAGAGTTTATAATCCAAAGCACTTCAGACTTCCTCTTTGAGTCTGGAGCAGGCAGCATGAACTCAGAGCGGAGGAAGTATGCCAGAGTGCGCTGACTCTCATCACTGTGCCAATAAAACGCCATCGTGTATTAAGAGAATTCCTTCTGAGTTTAAGCATTTCTAAATACCTTTCCTGAATTGAGAAACCAAACTGAATCAAGTGTGAAAAGTCTATTCTCTGTTTATAAAGGCATCTTTCCCATCTTTTCCGGATTTTCATGATCTGTAACTGGACTTGTGTACCCAGCTGGCAGCTACACCAGCCAAACCCTGAGGTCACCTTAGTTTAGGCCCATTTTTTTTTTTCACTCAGAGCCTACAGATTCTATTTAAAGTGCATACATGTACAGAATGCAGATGTGGGAATGAAAACCAGGCTCTTTGGGGAGTGAGGCCATGATATTTGACTGCAGTGAGGCCATAAGTGACCATCAGCAGGGGCCTCACCCAGACATGGTTGGAGCCCAGACCTCAAGAGTGGGTTTGGCCTTTGGATATGGCATTAGCAACCACACGGGCAGTTACCACATCTCCCCTTTGGGGCAAAATCATTGCACAATCTGTGACCAGACAGGCTTGAAAGTTTTTTTCTGCACTCAGAACATGTAACAGAATGGATATGCTGGAGAACTAACTTCATGAAGAAGCTAAGGATCAAAACTGTGTTGGGCAGAGAGGGGAAGTTGGGTCGCTTATGCTGAATACAAAAGGACACTTCAGAATGTCGTTCTACTGTGTATACAAAGCAGGAAGGAGGTCATTAGGCTATTTACATCGGGCATCGAAAGCTCTTATAGTTCAGTCCTGGCTGGTGTGGCTCAGTGGATTGAGTGCCAGCCTGTGAACTAGCAGGTCACTGGTCAACTCCTAGTCAGAGCACATGCCTGGGTTATAGGCCAGGTCCCCAGTTGGGGGCGTGTGAGAGACAACAGATACCTCTCACACATCAGTGTTTCTCTCCCTCTCTTCCTCCCTCCCTTCCCCTCTCTCCAAAAATAAATAAATAAAATAAGAAAGAAGGGAAGGGGAGGGGAGGGGAGGGGAGGGAAGGGACAGCTAGCTCTTATAATTCAACTACACCCCAAATGAACATTCCTTTTGGATGGCTAATAAATCATTCATCCATCCATTCATTTATTCATTCAACATTTATTGAGAACCTATTACACTACATAACATGTCATATAACAGGTGCTCAGGATACCATGGTGAACAACAACATAAAACATTTTTAAATATCCCTGACTTTGTGAACCTTACATTTAGAGGAAGAGACTGATGATAACAATAACACTAATTAAAATATAAATGATACAGTTGACCCTTGAACAACATGCTTTGAATTGTGTAGATCCACTTAGACACAGATTTTTTTCAATAAATTCTATAAATGTACTTTCTTTTCCTTATGACTTTCTCAATAACATTTTCTTTTCTCTAGCTTACTTTATGCTAAGGATACAGTATATAATAGGTATAATGCACAAACTGTGTTAATCTACTATTTATACAAGGTGAGACAAAAGTAGGCTTGCACTTGTTCATATGGAAAATAATACAATGATTAATAAATAACAATACAAGAATAAACTGTGTTTCACGTAGGCACAACTGTAAACCCACTTTCACTCCACCTTGTATTATCAGTAAGGCTTCTGGTCAGCGTAGGCTATCAGCAGTTACATTGTGTGGGATTCAGAAGTTATGCTTAGATTTCCAACTGTGCAGGGGCCCACCCCTAACCCCTGCATTGTTCACGAGTCAACTGTGTAGTGAAAAATGCTAAGAATGGAGGTGAAGCAGGGGTGGGAGTGTGAAATGTTAAGGGAAATGGGTGCTTAAGTGGTGAACATGGTGGTCCTGAAAGGCCTTGCTGAGAAGCTGCCTTTAATGAGTACCTGACCAATGGTTTGGAGTGGATATGAACCTAATCAAAAGCATTTTCTCTCAGATTGTCAAGGCTGTTCCACATGGTTTTTTCCGCTTCTGGGTTGCTGTTGAGAAAGCTAATGCCTTTCTGAACCCTGATCCTTCTGTGATTTTCTCCCCACCCTCTGGGCTGGTAGGAACCTCTGTTTCCTCTGCCACCTGGAATTTCTCAGTGACAGGCATGTGTCTGTTGAGCATTTCATGAATATTTTCAATGTCCTTCAGTTTGGGGAAGGAGGGATTCTTATAATGCTTTTTTATAAAACTTCTGTTTTTCCTGATCTCTTTTTATCCAAATCCTCATTATTAGCTGTTGGGATTCTCTGAAGTAATTCTCTGTTTTTCTTATTGGTTTTCATCCTTTTTTCATCCTTTAGTGTTTTTACTCCATTTACTCAAATTTTATCAACTTTTTGTTTTTCACTGAATTTTTAATTTCTGCTCTCATGTTTCATTTCTTCTGAGTTTCTGTTTTCTGTTTATATCAGTCTTTTCTTCCATATTAGAGGCTTTTATGAACTGTCTGTTAATCCTTGGTAGTCTGCTACTGTATGAGTGATGCATGGGTGTACTAGGAGGAAGTTTTTATATATGGGCCAAGATGCTTAACAATGGGGTGACCACACAGAATCTGAACAGTAGCACTCAGAATTCTGTGGGTCTCTTGTCATGGGCCAGTCTCCTTTTCTAGAGGGGTTCCACTAGCTTCCTGACTGAGATGTCACCCCTGTGCCAGCATTCTGTCAGAGGGCACCTCACCCACCCTCTCCTGTGTCCAGTGAATCTGGTATGTTGGTTCAGCCTCTTCAGTCTTCTGTGGATATGGGGAGTCACTTGGCTAAGTGGGATAGAAAGGGAGATGTGGGCAGATTTCTGTGCCATTAAAAAATAATAGTTCAATCAGGGCTCATGCTTTCCACTCACTCTGCATTCCTGCCTTCAACAGATCTGGCGCCTTATTTCCTGAGCTTCCCTGGGCCTGCACGTTTAATGTGGAGCTGTCTCCTGGAGGACCTAGGTGTCAGCTTACTCTTTTCTGCTCTGGTTTCCTCTCTCTTTCCCTTAATTCCTTGATGTATACTTTTTTATTCCTCGTTGTCATTTTAATGGAATTTCAGGAGCAGGCAGAGATAAATTTACTCCACAAACTGCCATATTTAACCAGAAGTCATTTTTTATTCTCTTCTTAGTCTCTTTTGCCAAAGATTCCTTTAGTGGTAGTAGTCCCTCCTCAGTAGCGTCTCACAAGAAAAAGGATTCAAATTAAATGTCGGGACCTTCAATGCTCTGGTTCAGTTATCTCTCTCTGAATAACAATGACCCTGACCGTAGTTCCTTAAAACAACCACAGTTATTTATTTGCTTGTGATTCTGCATCTTGAGCAGGACTTCAAGGGGGCATCTTGTTTCTGTTTCATGTGATGTCAGCTGGGTAGGCTCACCTGGGGCCACAGGTACCCTACCAAGAAGGCTCACCCTCATGACCGGCCAGTCTTTCTGGAAGTTGAATGGGTGTTTAGTGGGTCCATCAGTCTGGGCTTCCGTTCTTCACCATGTGACCTCCTCATGTTGCTGGGCTGGTCTCCACAGAAGCTTGATTCTGTTGGGGAGAATCCGTGATCACACTCACCAATAGGACAAGGTTTAGCATGCAAGCACTTCTAGCTTCCACTCTATATCTCACTTGCTAATGTCCCATTGGCCAAAGCAAGCCATGTGGCAAAGCTCAGACTCGATCTGGGGAGCACATAAATGACTACTGGGGGTCATGGTTCATTGGGATCCACATCCCTTCTGGAACTCTGGAATTCTACCATCTTGCGCTTGTTTTTCTTTGTGTAACTGTCTTGTTCCAGTTTCTTTCTGAGACATTGGTGTACCAGATGCTTTTCTTATAGATAGTTTCATATGCTGTAAACATTCAATAAATATGTGTTAGACCACAGAAAATGCCACTTAAAATGTTTCTGAATGGACTATAAAGACTTACACTATTTATCTTTCACATGTCTGTAGTGAATGTGCTTTTAGTTAGTGAAAGACATGGGGAAAAAATCACTCTACATGATTAAATTCCTAAATGTACTTTTCAAGGGAATTAGTATTGACTTTGCTTTAGGCTACCAGAGGTTAGCTTTTTGTTCTTTTGGTTTCAAAGAAGTTGAAAATTAGCTTTTTAAAAACCTGCTTAGACTCCAAAGAATAAAAATAGGTACTTTTGAGATAACCTGAAAATGCATTTCTTGAAAATTCCAAACATGTATTTCTTGTTACATGCTCTCAAGCTTGCCCAGAACATTCCGGCATGTGGTCAGACAGAATGGCTTAGCTGTGCTGTGAGTCTTGGTCTGTGACTGATCCCTGCATTCATTTTGCATGCAGGGGTTCTCTATCTGCAGTATGGAGATGAAACCAAGCAGCTCAGGATGCCGAATGAAATCACAAGTGCAGACACGATCCGGGCTCTCTTCGTAAGTGCCTTTCCACAGCAGCTCACCATGAAAATGCTGGAGTCGCCCAGTGTCGCCATTTATATCAAAGATGAAAGCAGAAATGTGTATTATGAATTAAATGATGTAAGGTAAGCAGGTACACTGTGTGTGTGTGTGTGTGTGTGTGTGTGTGTGTGTCCACTATACTGCATTTAGCATTGCTATGAGTTGTGTCGAGTCCTAAAGTCTTCATGTCCCAGGGAAGAAAGCATTGCTCTTACCCTGTCAGGCTTATCTCACCCAAATGTGAATTCACTAACTGCTTTTCTATGATTTACTTACAAGGTGTGGTTTACAAAGTCAAGAAAGATGAGGGCAGACTTCTCCCACATAGATCTTTACATGTTACATTGGAAGAGAACTTAGGAAGGGACCCAATCCAGTGGTTATTTAAGAGTTAGGGAAATTAAGACCCAGGTAGAGAGACTTGATCGAGATCATGGGTTGAAGGCACTACTTATGACTGGAACTTTCCCAACGTCTTCTCAAGTGCCCTGTCCCTCAGGGACAGAGCCTGTAGACATCTAAGGTAATGACCGCACTGAGTCATTCTTTACAGGAGCAAGTTGGAATACCAGCGGCGCACTCCGTCACTGTCCACAGGAAAAGAGGCTGAGAAGTATTCTCTCTTTCTATTTGTTTGTTAATAGTCAGCCTTTACCAAAGGATCTGACTTTCTAGGTGGGCTTTCTCCAGCACCCCCCAGTAGAATGTTCTCTAAAGTGAGGCAAAATGGACTCCTGCTACTGCAGGTGGCCCGGAAGTAAAAGCATCCTTCTCCACTGTAGTGGTGTTGTGTATAGAGTAGGAGGGACCCATCTGATCTGTCTCAGCCAAGCAGCCTGAGATACAGGATTTAAATCAGCACCAATGAGCAGGTGCTAATATAGCCCCTAAACATTTTAGAAATTAAAAAGTTATTTAGTGACTAATCCAGCCTTTTCATTTTATGGTACCAGACACTCAGATCCATAAAAAATAATGGGCTTGTTTAGAATCATACAGACAGTTCACTACCACACCTGACTACAAACCTGACTGTCCACATTCTTGGTCAAGAATTTTTTATTCCCTCAGTATGCTCCCTCCTCAGCTCACCTAGGCCACAACTTGGCTTTCTGGGTCCTTGCCCTGTGGGAATAGCAGGCTGGCCTGTCTCTTCATTATGGAATTAGGGGAAACCACTTTTAAAAATATGCCTTTATTGCATAATAAATGAAAACTGATAAATATCTCACAATGATCACAAAAGACACATTACGGCATGTGCCAAGGTGGATGAGTAATGCAGGGCTTTCAAAGCTTGACACGTGCCCTAAGGTAGAGGGTGCTGCAGCTGTCGCACAACCTTCCTGCTTTTTAAAAATGTGTTTAAATATTCATGGATATCAGAAACTGTATGTTTGTTTCTTGAATAAATTATTAATCATATTGTCACCAAAAAAGGGAATGAGGATTTACAAAACATAAACTTAAACACAAAGTAATCATGTGATGTTTAAAGAGCATGTTTGCAGTACTAGAATCCCATGTAGAGTTTTTACATGGATAGAGCATTTTACAACAATCATCTTGAATCTCCACATTTTGCAGTTAAAGGAATTGAGGGATACAGTAATGATACATAAGCATGAAACTCTAGGCAAAGCCACTTTTGCTTACGGAGCTCAAGGCTGATGAAGTCATTATGAACAATTGGACCCCACTGCCTGAGCAAGGAATTTTACATTTCCATGCCGCACAATATTCTAGGGCCTTTCCCAAGCCTCAGGGTATTACTAATACCTCCTCTATGCATCTGAGGGAGTGTCATTAGATAGTCAGAAAGACAAATGGGAGGGAAAACAAAGAGGAAAAGGTCCCCAAGACTTTCAAATTAAGATAATCTTTTTTCAAGCAAATTTGATTGATAAACTAGACCATAGCAGTGCTTGAGAGAAGTGGTCTCTTTCAACATTGATAGTTTTCAGTTAATATGTTTATGTTTGCAAAAAAAGATGATCTTGTTGATCCTTGTAGTATTGATAGCCTGATTTTTAAAAAATCACGTTTAAAATGTTTAATTGGGAAGGCATTGATTTATAAATTTGTCTAGAATTTTATTTTTTAGTGTTTTAACTTACTTATAATAATGGATCTAAAAATTTAAGTGGAGAAAATGTTTGTACTTGGTAGTGAATATAATGTTTATATTTGATAATCTCATGTATGTCCCTTCCAAAGAATTACTCTATTTCTTTTATGCACAAAATGCCTCAACTATATCTTATTTGAATGGCCAAGTAAATTTTCACCATCACCATTATATAGAACCTTCCTCCCCACCCCTAAAATGTATCATGTGGATTTTAACTGAAGACAATGGCTTTAATCTAAACTCAGAGACAAATTTTATTTTACATCCTTCAGTATTTTTGAAGTGAGAGTAAAACTTGTTAAATGTTTGGCTATTTCATCATTGTGTTGGGTTCTCCATGTTTTCCTTAGGGAAATGCTACGGAGAGCTCAGGTTGAAATGCTGTGTTGTAAATGTTGCCATGGTAAATGCAATCTGAGCCTATACCGTTGGTTCATCTTGGATAAACATGTTTCTAAATTAATCCCAAACCAACTTCATGTATTTTAAATACCTTTAGAATCACACCAAGTTTTTTTTTGTGGCTCAAATATGGTCTTCAGTCTCTTCACATCACTGCTATAACTTTTCCCCAAAGCCACAGGGTGAGTTCCTTTAGTGAATCCCCACATTCTTACTTCTGTGAACCACCCCCTTCATAGTAACCTACCTAGCCCTTCTCATAACAAGGACTGCACACTTCCCCCTAAGCTGACTTCTAATGAGCTACTTGAAACCTGGAGCAATCGTGCAAGCTAGGGCTAGTCATTGCTTCAAAGCAATTACTGACGGATATTTAAAGGAGGGAAGCAAGTCTAGTCCAAGAATTCTCAGAAACATAACCCAGTAATCCCAGAGATTGCAATCAGCCCTCAAAACGTGTGGCTGCACCTGGAGGAAAGGAATGTGTCTTCCTGCACATGTTTCCCTGAGCTCACTGCTCTGGCATTAGAAGGAATCACAGTGCAGACGAGGCTGAAAGTGCCTTGGGTGGCCCTTCTGCTGATGAAATCTGAATATGGAGGGAATTCGGACTTCGTAGACACTCATATGCTCTTAAATAATTTTAAGGTAGGAATTGAAAAAGATGTGGGACTTCTGTTCTTTGCTGCAGTATGATTGATTTCCCAGCTTTAAATGCTGGGTTCAGAAGGAGAGACAGAGTGGTAGAAGGATTTATCTGCTGTTATTTCTTCTAAATATGCTGCATATCCATGAAGTCAACTTGTATGTAGAAAAGTATTTTTAAAATCCACTGTGGAAGAAAAAAAACACATTGTAAAGAAACTAGTTTTGATCTTTGGGATCCTTTTATTTTTTTTTCCTGGACTGCAAATAGATGTTCTTTCTCTTGCTAAAACTGCTTGAAGGGAGAAAAGCATTTTTCATTTGTGTGTGCTTATGAGATAAGCAGAAAACCAGGTGTTTGGGTAAAGTAAGCAATTAAATATTTAAATATTAACCAACTCTTTTTGAACATATTGTAGATGCTGGAGCTTTATTGTTTCTTAAAGTGTTACCTTTCCTTGCTCACAGTCTTGAAAGAAAGTTCATGCCACCTGATATCTATGGGTGGAGAACTACACAGAAAAAAATTATACTTTCCAGAGGAACCAAAAAAAAGGGAGAGGAAAGTTCAGGTCACTTTTCTTATCCTTATTTATTTTTGCCTATTGTATGGTAAAAGAACTTTTATCTGGTTGCTTGTGGACAGACAACAGCTGGATTGTCTGCTGCTGCTTTTCCCTGATTCTTATGGGAGGACAAAGGAAATGTCTGAAGTTGGGCTCCTTTTGTCTATCATAGTTAATGATGTTTCTGGTTCCAGGAACATTCAGGACAGATCGCTCCTCAAAGTGTACAACAAGGATCCTGCACATGCGTTCAATCACATGCCCAAAACTGTGAACGGAGACATGAGGGTAAGTGTTCCTGTTCTATTTTTAATTTTTTTTGGTGAGTCAAACCATCTCTTCTTCTGTGTGCTCCTGATGTAGTCACATCCCACCACCAGGTTTTGGTTATTCTCCCCAGTCATCTCATCTGATGACTCATTTGTTTCTTGGTAGAGAAAGACTTTTCTGGTCAAATACAACAAAGGAATTGAAATTGGGCCTCACACATCCTCATTCACCCCTAAGCATGGAGTTTAGTTATGTCCTCATTCCAAGGAGATACAGAAAAATCTTTCCATAAAAGGGTTCTTGGTCCATATCACGTTAACTTACTCAGAGAATCTCTTGCTATGTTTTTCCCCAATTCAAAACTATCATACAAACAACAATGAAAAAACCATAAATAATTGCATGTAAAATCTATTAATCTTCTTATATCAGCTATTCCAAGTCCTAGCACTCTAATTAAATTATCCGCCTTCTCATTCAGGACCGTTTACTATTGTACTGTATTAAATATCAAATCATATCTGAACCATGTTTTGGACATAATATAGTACAAAAATCCGCATGATTTGGGAGCTAAAATTCTCTTGACTTAGAACATCTCAGATTATCCAGACACTGAAAGCACACAGAGATGTATTGGAGAAAAAAGAGCAGAAAAACTGAAAAGGCAGATTTTAAAACCACATTAATGCAGGTCCACTAGAAAGGGATTGTGTTTCTAACAATAGCACTACATCCCCGTGCAGGAAAAATGGGAGAAAAAAGAAACATTAACCTCTCCAATCGTACATTCTCCCTCCTCCCCACCCCCACACTCAAATTTAGGAAATGCTGTGCTATTTTATGTCATCTTTCTTGAGGATTAGCACTTGGCTGGATGCTGGAGTTTAACTAGAATAAGTAAGTAAATTGGTTTTATTGGCAAAGAAATGCAAGTGCTGCCTGGCCTGGAGTTGGAGTAGAGAGCCCGAGATGAAGCCACCTTCACTGCCCAGCAGCGTGTGTTAGCTTTCTATTGCTGCTGTAGGAATTAGCACGCGTTTAGTGGCTTAAAACGACACAGATGTTATAGTTCCATAGGCCTGACATCCAATATGGATGGATGGAAATCAAGGGGTCATCAGCAGGATGCTGGCTTTCCTTTCTGGGAGCTGTGGGGAGTATTTCAATTTTTTCTCAGCTTTTAGGGGTTGTGTGCAGTCCTCAGCTTGCAGCCCTCTTCCTCCTTTGTCAAACCCAGCCAAATGGCCTCTCTCTGGCTTTGCTACCATCGTCACATCTCCAACCCTTCCTCTTCCACTGTTAAGGACAACTACCTGGTACTCCCGGACAATCGCCCTATTTTAAAGTCAGCTGATTAGCAACCTTAATCCCCCTCCCCCCTGTAGTCACAGGTTCCAGGGTTTAGGATGTAGACATCGTTGTTCTGTTTACCACACAGGGTATGTGAGTTTAGGACCAAGAGGCCAAGAGGTCCAACAGAAAGTGCTGGAAGAATTTCTCTGTAATTCTGGCCTGGAATATGAGTGCTGACATTGTGGGATCAGAGTCTACACTTCTGGAGGAAAAGGCCTCTTATGACTCAGCCTCTGCTTTTTTTATGTCAGAAATGATGTGTGATTTGAAGTGAAGGCTGTGTGGCCACTTCATACAATCTAGGATTTTGAGATTTATTTATAGCCAGTTACACTCAAAATGTAAACCAGCACCATGTGAAGACAGGTCAGGTCATGCTAATCAGGAAGCATGGACTGAATATTACAGAATCCTTTGCTTTTGCCTTTGATTACTTCGTTATTCTCTTTCTTGGTGATGTTCTTAAGAATCTTTGCTCCCTTGGAAGTCTTTGTGTTTGATAAGCCTAGCCTTTGAACTGGAGTTTCATGGTGCTCAGAATCTGTTTTTGTTATGTAGAGCCCACACAGGGGTTCCACAATTGCCTCTGAAAACCTTGTTTATGGCTGGGGAAGACACACCTGTTTTAACTCTTAAGCAGATGTCATACCTACATATGGGGCCAGCGGTGACCACGGAGAGAATGAAATATTAACCATATGAACCAAGCCTATTAGAATTCAGAACTTTTGCTGTGGGTTTCAGTGAAGTTGTTGTGTTTTTACTTTTAGACGAGACCCTAGCAGTCACTTTCTGAGTTGCTCACAGCCTACTTTATACAGCAATTTTTTTGTGGGAGAAAATCAGTGGTTGTCCCCAGGTGAGGAGACAGCAAATGTTCACCATCCAACCCACTGAAGAGCTTTTTGGTGTCACAGAAGACAACTTAGAAATGAGAGCTAGAGCACAGTTTAAAAACCAAGTAGATGTGATGGTGTCTGCAGTTTGTAACTTGGCCTCATCACAGATTCCAAAAATTAAAAGATGGAATTCCTTCAGCCTCACCTTTTGGCTCTAGTGATTGGAATTCTCTCTCCTTCCTGATGAACATGGCTGCCTTTCTATTAAAGGAAAAGACGCTTTGTCTGGAGTGCAGCTGCATAGCCCCATTGCTTGTGGTGAAGAACAGAAATAGAGAACAGAGCAAGGATGAATTATTGTAGACTAAACTGAGCTGCACGGTGGGTTGAAGGGACTCCATCCTCCCGTGTGTCTGCAATGTGCCCGTGGCTGTGGAGGAATGTGGTTACTGCTCACATGCATTGGTTATGCAGCCCTGTGTCTGATGTCATTGACCTTCCCTCACCGGCCTCCAGAGGCTGCCTGAGACAGACTTCCAGCCACCCATTCATTACCAGTACATACATGTATCATGAAAAACATTGGTGGCACCATGCAGAGACGCAATAAGAACAATGCCAGAAGTGTGCAGTGGCCTCTGAAACTTTCCTTACACAATGCATTGAATGTCTTGCCTGTGAAACAAAAGGTGTTAGGACTCTGGATCTAATATAGTCACTTCTCCAGAGCAGAGCTATGATGGTAGCGGTGTTACCCAAGAATCACATTAGGCTAACATATTAACTCTGAGGGTGTGAGCACTCATGGAATATATGCTTGGTGAGAAAAACAGGTCTAGTTTTTCTTTAGCATCTAACTGAGCATTTTCGAGGTTAGTCTATTTAATGAGGCTTGTGGTTCTCTGCTGGAACTGAGCATACCGGTGTCCTTGTTTTTCCCATCGTCTGGCTTCTGCTTTGTTATATTAGATAGTAGCTTTGATCATTCAGTTCCCATGGTACTGTACTCACCATGCGAAACAGGCCCTTTTGCCAAAAAATTATGTGTGTACTCACAGGTCTGCAGTTCACAAATGTATTATACCACTCACAGATGAGCCATGCCATTCCTTGGCTCTCCAAAGGTACCACCAGTGACTTCCTGTCCCCCAAAACCAGTGGCTTTTCACAGTTTTCAGGCTTTTTCACCTTCTCATGAACTTTGAGATTACTTCCCAACATTCTCTACTCCCATCATTCACTTCTTTCCCTCTTGCATGTCTTTAGTTGTTACTTGTATGTAGAGAGTTTCCAGATTTACATTTAGAAAACAATCCCCAGAATTGGCCCTGCATCTTAAATTACTGGTAATAGCCTATTCAGCTGCTGCCTCCCAGACCTCTTCTATTTGAGCTCTGCCTTTGGCACCGATGGATAGTCTCCCTAGAAACTTTGGCTTCCGTTACACTGCCATTTCTACATTCCTGCCTACATTCAAACACACCTCAGCATCTTTCATTCATTCACTAACTTTTCTTTTTCCTCTTGCCCTCTATTGTCTTCATTGTGTTCAGGCAGATTTCTTCACTAGTTCGTGTATATGTGTATTTTTAATTTGCTCACTTTTATCTGCTCCTTTTTATTTGTGATTTTTATATTTCTACTGGTTAGCCACTATGTCAATGTGGATGATCCCTGAAACTATATCTCTAGCTCTGCCATTTCTTAAGAGTTCAAGATGCAGATGTTCAACTTCCAACTGGTTATCTCTACATGGATAGTCTTCCAATATTTCTAGCGTATCCTGTGGAAGAAAAAAAATCCTAATCTGTTTTTTCTTCCAAGCCATCTTCCTCCTGTTTTTCTATTTTGTGAGTGTTGGTGTGTGTGTACACAGGTGTGTGTGTTTTGAGGGGTAGGGAAAGAGATTTAAAAAGTTGAGTTATCTATGAGCTTTCAGTTGCCTAGCTCCTGTTTCTCAGCGCACCCCGCCAGTCAGCAGGGCCACCCTGCTGTGCAAAGCCTCTTACATTGACCCTCTGCCTGTGCCTGCACTGCCACTCTTACAGCAGCTGACTTTTTTGAGCATTTACTAATCACTTTTTCTGGGTAAATTCATTTAATCTTCAAGACAACATTTTGAGGCAGGTATTGGTATGAACCCTCATATTTTTAACTTAGGAAACAGTTGCTTAGGTATGTTAAGAAATGTGCTTAAGGCCACACAGCTAGAGCATGGCAGGGCTGAGGTTTGAACCTGGGCAGCTGGGCTCCAGATTCTAGGCTGTTAGTAACACTGCTGTACTACTATACTTAACAGTGTTCATTATTTTTCTAGTCAGTTATGCAACAGCCTTTAACCAGTCTCCCTAACTCTTCATAGTCCAGTCTAACAACTGCTTCCCAAGTCATCTCCCTAAGCCCAGCTTCCTGTTCTGCAGAGACTAGCACCAACGGTCAGTATCATCCCCACCCCCAAAACCCAGCAAAGCTGCCTCGCAGTTCTTACTCCAAGTGTATAATGATCTCCCCCACCTCACTTATCTGCCTTTCAAATCCCACCCATCTAACTTACTACGGGACAATTGCCCAATTACATCAACAAATTGCTGGCATCAATAAACTACTGTATTCCTTGGTCTCTTCTGTGTTGTGACAGCCAACTTCCATGTGCATATCAGGTTTGAATCCTGATTGAAACAAACCAACTGGAAAAGACATGTTTGAAAGTGTTTGGGAAATTTGAACATGTGTTGGGAATCAGATGATGTTAAGGGTTCACTGTTAATTTTGTTGGGTATAATGATGGCTTGGTGGCTGTGTTTTTAAAAATGAGGCATACTG